TCTGGAGGCAGCAAAAGAAAACCGAAAGTTCCAGAAAGGAAATCTTCACTACAGCAACCCTCTTTAAAAGATGGAGCTCTGTCACTGAGTAAAGATCTCGAACTTCCAATTATACCTCCTACCCATCTTGACCTAAGTGCTCTTCATGTCTTGAATAAACCATTCCACCACCGTCACCCATTGCATGTTTTTAGTCATAATAAGCAGAACACAGTAGGGGAAACACTGAGATCGAATCCACCACCGTCCCTTGCAATTACGCCGACAGTCCTGAAATCTGTTAACCTTCGGTCCATCAGTAAGTCTGAAGAAGTTAAGCAAAAAGAAGGCAACAATACAGAACTCCCCTACTTAGAGCAAAGCACTCTCACAATGGCTGCCCTGTCTCCAGGTAAGATTAGGCCACATATGGCTAAGAAATCAATATCACGTCAGTACGCCACTGAAGATACCATTCTGTCCTTTTTAGACTCCTCTGCAGTTGAGATGGGACCGGATAAACTACAGTTAGAAAAAAAGTGTACTTTTGATGTGAAGAGTCATTGTGATCCAGAAACAGTAACCTCAGCTGATAGCAATCTGCTAGATTCAAGTGTCACAAAAGACCAAATACATATGGAGAGTGAGCCTATTCCAGAAAACAGACCAAGTAAAAATGGTGACTTTCCCACAGAAGGATTTCAGAAGGTCTCTGCTGCCCGCCCAAATGATTTGGATGGTAAAATACTACAATATGGAGCTGGTCCAGACAGAGCCCTACCACAGGTCCAGAAGATATTCTCTGTAGATCGTGAAGAAGTTGCACACATTGAATCTGTGGATGTGCTCACATCTCAGTCACACTCATCCAATAGAGACACAGACATAAGCAGTCAACTTAAGCATCAACTTGGGATTAGCCGCCACCATGACAAAGTGCCTGGGAATATCAGCTATGAAGCAGAGCTATCAACTGCAAATTCATACTATGAAAAATGTTCTGAGCAGGAAAATATTGCTTCAAGTATTTCAGCCAAAAGTGCCTCTGATAACAGCGGAGCAGAGGAGAACCAAGGAAGTATGGATGAGGTTTCATTGAAAGGTCAGTTTGTCACAATGGAAAGGGATCTCGTGGCACTTGAAACTTTTCTTTCTTACATTCCCCATAACACAGTATAGCCCTGGGTGTTGGGTTCCCTCCACTATTTCTTTTTCACTAATTAAAACTATTGAGATAAAAACTTTTGGTATTACGGGACTATGCTGTGATAGATATATCGCCTCATTTTAAAAATGGCGTTAAGGGAACTGCTGTTTATTTGTTCCCTGAGTGAGTGAAGCCTAGCAGTGTGCTAGGTAACTTCCTCCTAAAGTTGCTTTTGTTCTTAATTTAAGAATCGTCACTGAGTGATGACTCAATGATTTCACCGCTTAGTGAAGACTCTCAGGCTGAAGTGGATGGTGTGTTTGTGTCTCCAAACAAACCTCGAACAACTGAAGATTTATTTGCAGTCATTCACAGGTGAGGTAACAATACCAAAGGTTTTGCTTCTTATGGTGATTCTCATCAAATGAAAATATGTGAAAGCTTTGTGTTCTTGTAATATATTCGACGAAAAAAAAAAAGCAAAGAAAAGTTATGTTTCCAAATCAACTGGATAGACCTCAATCGAGAGACTTTCATAAGAACTGCTAAGGGAAGGTGTTTTTTCCCTAGGAAAGACATTCTGGAACAAGTTTTTATTTGAAAACAATTTGTGGTTAAGTAATTTAAAGTGAAATCTCAAACTGTAGTGCAATCTTTGATTTTAAATAATTTCTTGAACCTAAAACAATATGCTCAAAGCTGTCATCTACACTAGCAAAGATAAATGTAAGTTGATTCACTGGTCAGAGCCCCAAATTTTAGACAAGACGGTGTATTAAAAACCTGCCCATTTCGTAGCCCATAACAACTAATCACTGCTTTTTCTCCCCTCTCTTCCTAAAACTTAAATTTCTTTTAATAACACCGGACTTCTCTAAAATGAATGCTCCATATCCCATGAATAGTAGATGTTCTCTGGGCTGCTTTTCCAGGACAGTGTTGTGTCCATGCTGCTCTCATCTGCCTCCTGCATCCTTGTGGTCAATACCCATATTTGCAAGCGTACTCTTTACAACCTGTGACTGAAGAACAGAGCAGGAACTAGCCCTTGGAAAGCAAACCCATATCAGACTGAGCTATCCAATCATGCTGTGTTTGCTCCTTTGATAGCTATGACTGCCTTCTTCCACTAGGCCTTGGTGACTGAGATCAGACTGCCAATGGGTAAAACCTGGGGACTGTCTTTTCTGCCTCATGAAGTTATACTTTTTGAAGCAAGTTCTTTGCAAGCAGCTTGCCATTGTTTTCCCCCCAAGAATTCTGCTTTTTAAGGGAACTTGTGTTTTCTCTTGATGTGGTTCTCTCATAAAGAAGGAACACTGCTCTTCAACAACTTTTCGAAAAAGAGTCCATTAGAAATGCCTTCTGTGTACACCTTAGCAGGCACACTTCTCCATTCAGAAATTGGAGAATCATTAGTTTATCTGCCCCTAAGCTCCTATTATATTCCTCTCACCCCACTTTCTCTTCAACCTTAGGACAAGTCACTAAAATGCTATGTAAGTTAAAAAGCCAAGTTCTCACCCCCAAAGATCCAAATGCTAGTGTCTGGAACAGTGGACAGAACATAAGTAGTTGAGTCAGAAAGACCTGGAATTGAATCCCAGTGCCGCCACTTCCTATCCAGTCTTGAGTCAGTTAAAACATCGGTACCTATTTCCTTACTGGAAATAAGGATATCTATAGCTCACACATTCAATTATGAAGACAATATAACATTTTAGTGTCTAGAATATGGTAGATGCTAAAAGCAAGTATTAGTTTAAAACTCCTACCCTATTGGAATGTCGGACACTGGCATACACAGGATAACAACCACAAAGGTTTCAGTAAACTGAAATCAGGCTGGTCTCCAATTGCAAACCTGGCATTTTTCTCTACCCTATGGAATTTTTGGTTGGTGAGAGAGCATGTTGCCAATACTATCAATGAACTGATTCAGGATGAAGATTCACTGAATTTACACTGGTTTATTTATCAAGAGAAATTATATGATGATGGGTGCCTATGTTTGATAGCCTTACTGAGTTTCATAATCTTAGATTTGCATTTGCGTAGGACTTATCTATGAACCTATGTGCAGCACAGTGACAAGAATGATTTTGTTTTCCTTTTTATTATTATTATGGTGACATTAGTTAATGAAATCCAGTAAGTTTCAGGTGTACAATTTAACAGTAAAGCATATATATATACATATATATCATTGTGTGTTCACCACCTATAGTTAGATTTCTTTCTGTCACCACATATTTGACCCCTTTTACCTCATCTATCTCCTCCTCCCCCATACTCTGGTAACCACTAGTCTATTGTCCATGTCCATTTTATTTTCTTGAGAGCTTACATCGTACAGACCTTTAAGAGCTCCATAGTTGGTCTAGGTTCTCGGCTCCTCACAGAAAGTTGGCTTACTGATTAATACACTATTGATGTTCCTAGGCAGCTATGGACAATGCTATTTGCAGCCAAAAATGGAATGACTTATTTAAAAAGTCATGTAAGAAATTTTTTATGTGGAGGAATTTAAAAAGCAGGCAGAACAATATAATGCATCCCCCCCCCCACACACACACACCACACATATCCATCACCAAGCTTCTCAACCATCAATCTATGGCTGATCCTGTCCCCTCCACACCTCCATCTGCTTTGCTCCTCTGGTGTTCACTCGAAGCCAACCCCAAGCATCAGTGTATTTTATCTGTATTGCAGAGACAGATTTAGTAAGAGAAAGCTACAGTCCTTTGCTGCCTACCCTCTGTCCAGGAGTCAAAGAGTAGTATTTTCTTATAGTAAAACATCTCAGTAAGTCCTTCTCTAGAGCCCTAGCCTCCACATTAGCCATTGTTTGAAATGGTTATTTCCAGAACCTAATCTATATGCACTGATTATCAGAGAATTTCCCTCAGGCTGTGAGTGCTACAAGGGTGAAGAATGTATCTTACTCCTCATCTCTGTAGCCCTAATGCTTCGCATCCAATCAGATAGGATGCACCAAAATGCTCTTTAAGGTGATGTGTGAATGCGACTTAATACTTTCAGTTTCATAAAAATGTATCTGGACTGAGAGTCTTCCTTTTCTTAAAAGGTCCAAGAGGAAGGTACTTGGAAGAAAAGATTCCGGGGACATGTCTGTTCGAAGCAAATCGAGAGCTTCCCTTGGCAGCAGTAGCAGCAGTGGTGCTGGTTCTGTCACTTCACCCAACAACAGTGTGACAGCCCCAAACAGCCACAGGTCTCCTGGCCTCATCTACCGAAATGCCAAAAAGTCCAACACATCGAATGAAGAGTTTAAGCTGTTACTCCTCAAGAAAGGCAGTCGCTCAGATTCCAGTTACCGCATGTCTGCCACTGAGATCCTGAAGAGTCCCATCCTGCCCAAACCTCCTGGGGATCTCACGGCTGAGTCCCCCCAAAGCACCCATGAGGCCCATCAGGGGGCACCTGGGCTGGAGGCATTGTCCCCACTCTCTCCATGCTCCCCACGAGTTAATGCAGAAGGGTTTTCCTCGAAGAATTTTGCCACGTCAGCATCAGCAAGGGTTGGACGTTCCCGGGCGCCCCCTGCGGCCAGCAGCAGCCGCTACAGTGTCCGCTGCAGGCTGTACAATGCGCCCATGCAGGCGATCTCTGAGGGCGAGACGGAAAATTCCGACGGGAGCCCACACGATGACAGATCCTCCCAGAGTTCAACTTAGGTTGCCTGTGCCAGGCTTGCTGTCAAAGCCAAAACTCTTAGTCATATGAGGATGGAGGAACAGAACAGAAGACTAGAGAGAAGTCAGCACATCACGGGGTACCATCACATATTACCAATGAATTCCTAAATATTTGCTGGAGAAACGGAAGGTGGTTTGGTCTTTCTTGATTATTTACCATGTTTTTAAGTAGCTGCACTGTCTTTCATATTTTTCTTTAGCTTAGTTTGAGTTACCCAATCGTATTCTTTTTGATAATATAGAATTCAAAAATGTCTGCTTTTCATGAAACCTAGAAAAAAGTTTTCCCAGAGCTGCCTATTCAGAAAACAAAACCCTCACTGTCATAATTCTTAAGAAGATAAAATTACTCTGGAGGTTTGGTATTTTTTTACATTAAAATGAACTAAAGCAAAATTTAGAAGAAAGGACTACACACATGTAAATACCATATTTTTGATAAAAATGTGTAAATAGATTTATCAATGACGAGTGGACATGTGGCCAATTATCTACCACACACCGTTTATAGAACACAACAGATAAAGTGTAATAATTGTATTCTGTGAATACCATTTTCATATCAAATACCATATTTAAATGTCCACCAGTATGATTTCTGAATGATAAACCTCAAGTATGAATTTTAAACTGATAAAATAAAGGAAATCTTGAGGTCATCTACTGAAATGTGATTAATTTAAAATAATGAATTCAGACCTAACCATTTTTGTGACAAATTGCAGCACCAAACAAGCTAATAGTAGTAATCACGTGGCTGTGGTTTGCCACGTGGTAATTTGGACAGAATGAGAAGCATGCTTTTGATTTTTTTTTAATCAATGAGAGAAATCATCATTCTCAACACAAAGCCCTGAGCAACAGCATTTGACAGTGTCCTTTAAACTTTAATTTTTCAACAGATTGCTTTAAAGAGAATGAATAGGGAAAATAGTAGTAAATTTTAGGTTATGTTTTATATTAGGCTACTGGAGACATACACAGTCATAATCTAATGACTATAATCTTTAAACTCCTTAAACATTCTAGCAATTAGCTCCGGTTCTTTAACTAAGAAAAATAAAACATGAGCATGCCACAGAGCTGTTGATTTATCAGTAAATACCTGCAATGAGTTTTCAGTGAAGCTTTCTCTCTGTGCTGATGAGATTCATGCTACCTAAAAATTAACAGATATGACACTGTGAACAAAGTAGTTGGGAAATAGGTATGTGTGTATATGCATTATTTATATTCACTGTTAAACTGGGAATGGGGAACAGCTCTGGTTCACAATGCTACATAAAACTGAGTTTTTGTCTGATTTTACTATATCTGCTTGATGGCAAAAGGGGAGGGGTGGTGGGTGGGAAAGGAAATGTCAGGGCACATGCTCTGATAAAATGAAGGCAGGGAAACAAGCTGAATTACTTGAAATTACTTGAATTTTCTTGTCTTAAAACTGAAAAAATGTAGTTACAAGTTAAAATCTGCAAATAGTTTTTACACCTCTGATTTTAACATGAACTGATGCTAATGTTTGAAATGATGTCAGAAATATAAGCAGTTATGTACTTATGTTTTGAATAGGAGAAGGTAGAAAGTAGAGAGAACTAAGAAAGGATATGGCCTATAAAAGAATAGAATGTGATTAGAATGATAGAACATACCAGAGTTACCAAGAAATTGATATGCATCTGGCTTTAAGCTTATGCAAGTGGTATTTGGGAAAATAGGATGTGTGAAAGGGAGTTTGTGGTTTTGGTTTAATTCATGCAATATGAAGGAGAAAGCCTGGTCTAAGAAGATGCTGTCTTTCAATAGAAACACTTCCTAAGATCTTGCAGATTGAGAATTTGAGAATCTGATTGCTGTTCAGTTTTTCTGTTTGTCTGGAAAGAAAAAAAAACATGTCTGGATTCTACTATTTGTTTTCACTATCGAATCGTGTTTCTTAATTTCTTGTCATTCTTGTATGTAAAATGGGTGCTGGGGGTGGTGGGGTAGAGGAGGGAGTTTTTTACCCAAAATATTGAAATGTAAAAGTTAGTGGAGTATAGTGTATTCGTGCATGTGTGTGTGTGAGAGAGAGAGTATGTGTGTGTGTGTGTGTGTGTGTTGGGATAGATAAGCTACCTGGTAAAGGGTACATTTGAACATTTAAAAGGTGTTATACTTTTTATTAAAAAAAAATGTTTGGGGGTTTGAAAAAAAATGGAACATCATTTCTAATTGGAACCGATAAGTTAAGAAAACCAGCATGGTTTGTTTGACACCACATGGGAATATGAATAACTTTTTCTCATGCTTTGAAAAGTACACTTGGCAAAATTTTAAAAATAAAGTTTTTAGACAAATGCAGTAAGAAACAGTCATTTCCAGTCACAATAGGTGATCTTTTGTAATTTTCATAAAAGCAGTTCGTTTGCAGTATGACTTTTGTGTAGTTAGGGGTTTTTTAAGCATAAAGAAAGGTATGTGCGCTTTAAAAGTGACTCTAAATCTTGAATAGAAAACACATGAATTGGCTTTAATAAATATGTCACCTTTTTATTATTGACATTAATTTAAGTAATGGTACCATATATATTTTAAAGTACATATTGACTTGAATTGTGAGGCAATAAGATACCTTCTGTATGTAATGATCACAGAACTAACCCTTATAATATAGTTTTACTTATTTTGTTTACTCTAAAAATCTATAGCAGAGTTTCTCTATTTTATATTTCATAGATTTAAAAAACCCAAATAAAGATGGATTTTAAATTCACTGTGGAAAAAGAGTATTGAGTAACAAACTGAGTGAAAAAAACGCAAGGAATTCCTTAGTAATCTGGAATATTCTACATGGCTTTATTACGTAACATATACAACCAAGATTTAGGACTGTTTTCAACATCACTGCCATCTTGAAGCAGGGTACACACATTAGGTATTGTAAAAACATCAATCCAAACTTTTCTTCTGTTGTTTGCACTGATGCTAACTTTTTTGTTCTTTTATGTTTATACAACATGTCTATGTTGTGTGGGGGAAACTTTTTCCTTACTTTTTTTATTTTATTTTTATTTTTTGGCTAAGTAGAGGACATGGACTAGTTGTAGCAAACAAAACACACTGTTTGCTCTTGCCAAAGGTCAGTGAGTACATTTGCTGCAGTGATGGCTGACTTAAGAGAACTAGATCATGACAAAGATTTAAAACTATGAAGAAGGTTACAGTGTAACTATTTTGGTACTAGAACCAGTTCATGCTGGCCGAAAAGACAATGGTTTATGGACTTGCATCCATTTTGTATTTTTGTAATATTTGTAAATATGAACTTTTTAAATTGCAAAAACGGTTTCTTTTGTAAGATGTTTTCAACGTTTACATTCAATTCAAGCCTTTGTATATTTTAGAGCTGTGCAACACTTTAAGTCTTGTATTTATTTTTAGTATAAAAATGGTGACAGTTTCATTGTGAACCCCTCTCAAAAAAAATGTACCAGAAAAGTTTGATTACCTAGAAAGTGTGTATAGAAACTGCAAATAAACGTGACTGCAATTAAAACAACTGGTTTCTCTCTTCATTGTTATGTAATTGCATTGTTGAGGTTTCACAAACACAAGTGTTTTATAGAAAACTGGTCATAAAGGAGAGGAACTGCTATGGCAAAAGTATGAGCAAAATAATGATTATAACTACTGTATAGTGGACTCTAATCTAGCTTTGTATTTGAGAGGAAAAAGAACACACTCCCAATGTCCGGTATACTTTCCTTGTAGCTCTTCTCTTAGGCCTAGGAAAAGTTTTTTGGCTTTATTTTGAAATACCTTTGCTTTTGATAAGTACTCACACTGTGCCTCCTTCCCAAGATAGGCAGCCTCGATATATGTAAGAATGTGCCATTAAATAATGTCAGGTACTCATTGCATAGCAAATGTACGTGCCAGTTCGCATGAAGTGCTTTGCTTACTCTAATTCACGTACTCCCCATGTTAAGCCCATTTTACAGATGGGGAAACTGAAGCACAGAGATGTTACTTGACTTGCCCAAAGCCATAGAGCAACTAAGTGTTAGGATTACGGTTCAAATCCAGCAAATCTGGCTCCAGGGTCTCTCTCCACCCTGAGGTAACAACTTTTTAAAAAAACTTTCCCTGTTTGTACCAAACCAAGATTAATGAGGTTGGTCGCTAAGGCCCCACTGTTCTGACCCTTCAAATTCCAAAACTGACGTGTACACCAGGGATCCAATAAACATCGACGTCTGTGGTGCGTGATTGGAGGAGGAACAGCGGAATTACATTTTTTAAAAGTTTCAAAAACCCACGCGCGACAGTACAAGGCTCGCGTCTGCGCTCTAGCGTCCGGTTCCCGTCCCACCAGCCTCCGCGAACAGAAACCTGGGAGGCCGGCACTGCCGCTGCGCAGTGGAAAGCAAAGCCCCGCCCCTTAGCTGTTTCCCTAGCAACGCCCCGCACCCCGCCTCGGGATTGGTCGGTATTCGGCCGCTCGCGTGAGATCCTGAGTGCCACGACTGGTCCCTGAGGCGTGCATTCGTCCTTAGCGTGCGTGGGGCTTCCGACTTCCGCATCACGTGTCCGTACTCGACTTCCGCTGCGAAAACCGTTAAATACCTCGAGGGGTTCTAACGGTCGTAACAGTCGTAACGGTCGCCGCTCGAGGAGACGGGAAACCGCTAGCGGGTTCCCGTGTCCTCCGGAGGCCGTTGTGACAGGATCTGTCGCCAGAAAAGGTTTAACCAGCGACATATTTTTCTTCTCCTTGAGCTTTCTTGTCTTGCATGTGGACAAGTAGCAGTTGAGGAGCGATTTGGCTTTAATGGCTTGGGAACTCCGGGGCGGGGGGAGTGGATTTGCCTTGAGGGAAGAGAAAAAATTTGCTTTTCTGGAAGAACAAGTCCACACTTAAATTTCTACAGCGCTGCTGTGGCGTGGGTTGGGGTTTTCGGGTGGTTCGGGGTGGTAATTCGGGGTGGTTCGGGGTGGTAATTCGGGTGGTTCGGGGTGGTAATTCGGGGTGGTTCGGGTGGTTCCCACCGCCTCTCCCGGGATGCCAGAGCGTGTGAGCTTTTGAAATTTTGCCACTTGTTGAGTAGTTGGTGCTGACTTTTGGGAACAAGATCTTTTTTCACTCTCTTCTCTTCCTTGGCAGAGGCGTGTGGGGGAGGCGGGGGGAGGGACGAGAAAAGACCAAGATTCTCAGACTAGAATTTTGAGATTAAATTAAATTGATAAATTGGCGAGTTGATTTTTCGTAACGTCTTTTGATATTAAAACGTTTTGGAGCTTTGATGGTAACCGCGTTTTATTAAAGACAATAATGTAGTCTCGATGTTTTATTTTAAGTTCGTAAACGAGAAGAAAGAATAAAGATGTAGGTTGAGCACGATCGTTTGATAACTAAATCTTTTGGGGATCGCTTCCCTCCCTCCCCGGCTCTCCCCAAATTCAGACGGCTCTGAGGTTTTAAATTGGTTTAATGTTTACAAATCATGGTTTTTGCAAACAACTTTTCTGTACAGCGTTTTATAAAGAAGGGCCTGGGCTCCATTCAGTGCCGGGCGATGGGATACAGTTTGGGCGGCATTGTCCGCCATCTGGTGGATTTCATAGTCATCTAAAGTTTGATATGGACAGTAGAAGGGCTGCTTTTGAGAGTCCTGATAGCAGTTTTAGAAAGTGATTGTTTAGTGTATTGGCACACAGTTTTGTTTAAAAAATTTTTTCGCAGTCGTCTGCCTGTTGTAGTCTGCCCTGTTTTGCTGTGCAGTTTTGTTTTTGGGTGACGTGCCGTTTTCATCCCTTATCGTTGTAATAAGTTCATGGGAAATGAATGCCTTGTACCTTAGGAGCAGAATCTTCAAATGACTTTAAAAAAAATTTTTTAAGTGTCTCTAGTGTCTTAAATGTCTTTAAAAAACCAGATGGCTTTTTGTTCTTACGTTATCAAGAGTTTAGATTTTCTGAGGTAAAATCTAAATGGGCTTCATTTTAAATAAACGACTTTTTCAGGATTTCGAATGTAACGAATTATGTTCATTAATTTTGCATAATCTAGTCATGGTTGGGCTCTAAGAAAATGTTGCCGAAACTTTATTTTCCCTGTGGGAAGAAGTAAAAAGGGAAATAAAATTTATACTGTGCCTGCTATGAACCAGACATGCTGAGTGCTTAACTGTGCCATTTGGTCTTCACAGTTTTGTGAAGTAGATAGATATTATTTCAACTTTACGGGTTAAAAAATTGAGGTACAGAAAGATTAAATACCCGCCTAAAGCAAAATAGCAGTTTTTGCAATTCGGTCTTAGATTTGAGTATTTCTTAAAGCTCAGATCTTTGCACTGTGCCCTGGCACTTTAAATTCATTTACAATAAATGATTGCTCTATCTGCGGTGTATAGGTGCAGTGTGAATGAAAATTACATGTTATGACCCTGAGGATTTGTGGTATATGTGCTCCATGATGAACAGTTCTGTTGAGAGGATGTTGTGAATACCCAAGTAATAAAAAAGATAGTAGCCAACAGTGGGTGCCCTTGCTATACCAGTCGTTTTTCTAAGCACTTGACATATATTAATTCGTTTAATCTTCATAATTCCATGAAGTTGGTATTATTATCGCCATTTTACATATTTTTTAAAACACAGAGAAATTAAGAAAGTTGTCTAAAGTTACACAGCTAGTAAGTGGAGGAGCCGGGACCCAAACCCAGATTTTCTGGCCCCAAGCTTTGAAGTTGCCTCTCGTGTAACTAGCCAGTGTGTGACAGTTGCCTTAAAAGCATTAAAGTGTGAGTGTTTTGGTAGTATTTTTTTGTCACTTCCAGATGAGGTGACATAGCACCTTTGCTTTGTGGAGATGCAACCTGAAGCTGAATAGGTTCTGTCAGCTGGAGAGATGACAGTGTATTGTGAGCAAGAGGACATGACAGGAGCGAGAAGTTCTAAGAGTGCAAGATTGGTGTTGAGTTGTGAATGGGCCTCAGAGGTAGAAATTTTGGGAGTCCAGTGGTGGACTCGATGCCTGCTGCTTCTGTGTCTAACTGCAGCCAATTTTAGCAGCATGGTAATTAACCCAGTAGAGAATTGTCTGATTGTGAGAGCTTATAACAGTGGTTGGCAAATTTGTCTATAAAAGGACAGATGGTCAAATTTTAGGCTTAGAGCAAGGGGACAAGTGGTAAGAAGTGACCTCTGAGAGGTGTGGAGGCTCCTAACTGTGTAAGGACCTTGCAGGCTTTAATAGGAGTTTGGATTTTTTTGTTATTGTTTATAGAAGGGATGCCATATGATTTTAATAAGGAAGGAGTAAGGCACGTAGACTCTGGAGCCAGACAGCACCACTTAACTAGCAATGAGACCTGGGTAAATTATTTAAACTTTCTTTACCTCAGATTTCTCTTAAGGAAAATGGGAATAATAATAGAGCTTCCCTGTGGGGTTGTCAGGAATACTACATGAGTTAACACACATCAAGTGCTTAGAACATTGCCCGGAAGAGTAAGCAGTAAAATCTCATAGATATTATCTGTACCTTGTGGTATATTCCAAATTTTCTATAGTGAAACTACATTTAATGAAAAATTATATATATAAACTATAAAACAAAAGTGTTAGAAATACAGTGAGAGTCTAAGAAATACTATTAGAGTTAAGAAACTTTAATTTGCTATTCTCATTTTGTGAGAGTTCAAGTACCTGTACTTTGGTGTTCTTTGCAAGACGTAACTTAGCTATCCATGAATCAGGGACTGGTTAAATGAATCATGGCCTATCTGCATGATAGGAAACTAAGAAGTTGTTAAAGTGACTGTGGTGTATCTAAAGGTATTGGTTTGGAAAGACTCCCGTTGTTGATTACTTGTGCCTGTTTTTGAGCTTTAGATCAGTTGAATCATATATTATATTCTCTTGTGTGTCTAGCTTTTACTCAGCGTTCTAGTGATGAGATTCATCCTCGTGTGTAGCAATAGCTAGTTTATTCTTATTGCTGTGTAGTCTTCCTTTGCCTCAAAATATCAGTTTAATTGTTTATAGCTTGAATTAGTCTTATAATGAGAAAAAATATACACATAGTCTAGAAAAGTAAAATTTGGTCGAAGTTATAGCTCAAATTGGAGGTATTTTATAGCTTAAAAATTTCCAATATTAGCCTGCATATATCTAACTTGAAAGTTAATTCTCCCTTCATTCAGACTGTCATTACTGCTCTGGCTCAGGTGGATAAAGGAAACCAGTGTTCTCATTAATGCACCCCTTTCGGTACTGTGAGGCCAGGGTTCAAATCCCTACTACAAGATAGAATATGATTGCATCACACTCCGTGTCTTTTTCTAGTTACAGAGTTAAATGACTCGGAACCATAACCAAGCCTACATAATTCCAGAAGATTTTTTGGCTTATATTTATTTAGGTTTAATATAAAATGAACTGCTGAAGCAATCATAATCTTAGCACTGCAGTGACTGTAGAGATCATGTTAGTTTTCACCTGGATTTTGAGTGGTCTGCCCAACCCACGGTATGGTGGGGGCCCAAGCTAGAACAGACTCCTCACTCACGTTTGGAGGTCTGCTGCCTCCCTAAGTAAAAAGCCTGTGGAGAGTCCTTTACAGAAGCTATCAGGAACCCTGTTTTCTTGTTTCAGCATTTACTCTGTACCCTTTAAATCGTAAAGCATTCACTTCACGATTTGGAACCGTGTTTGATCTTGAAACCTATTCCTAGGTGTGGGCAATATAGCCCTTTAATTTTTAAAGGTTAATTCTAAGTCACAAATGGAAATTTTCTCGTTTTGTCACTTCCTAAAATTCAACGAGGACTCCAGTTCATTTTGAGTTGGCACTGTGAGAAGATAGCCATGCTAAGTTTATTAAGGTAGTGTGTAAAGTAACTTTTTTATGCATTACTTTTCAGGAGTAGAAGGTTTACCAGTCATAGGTGACCAAGCAATTTTACAAATAAACCCTCCAGCAAGTTTAACATTAATTAAACTCAGAGGAAGTGAAGTTGCTTCTATTGCACAAAGATGTCTAGCTGCTCCAGTGACGTCGATGTGGTTTGTATTTCAGATTGAAAATCTGTCCTTGTTCTTTTCATTTATTTTCGAAATTTAATTTCACACAGTGAAATTCAGAGATTGTAAGTTTATAGTTCACGAGTTTTTACAGTGATCTATAAAGCTGCTATGACCATTCATGTACAAGTTTTTTGTGAACAGATACTAACATTTCTTTGGGGTTATTCAATTCAGGAGTTGAATTGTTAGGTCATAGGTTGATGGAATTTTGACTTTATGAGAACCTGCCAAACAGTTTTTCAATGTGGTTGTGGTCTTGAACATTTCTGTCGCATTCTGCTTTGTTTCTTGATCCCTGAAGTTAAATAGAAATATAGATTATGAAGCTATATATAATTTGGCTTAACAGAAAAGACATTTCTTTACTTACATAAGGATGTGGATAGTAATGTCACTTAAGTAGTATAGGCAATTCTCTTAACTTCTATCAGCCCTAACATTTTTCATCTTGAGAGATTATGTTAATTGCCTACCAAGTCATTTTTTTCTAACATAAGTATATAAAAATACTTGGAAAAGCATAAGGCAGTATGCAAGGATAAGATAGTATATTTTTATTAAGTACAAATCTATAGCAGTTCCATATTATTTTGACATCTTTTGAAACAGACATATATAGCTTCTAAGTGTGTTTACTTTAAAATTATTCCTATAGTTTATAATTAATTCTTAGAATAAAGAGTTATTAAATGAAATTTAATGGTTATTTACTGTTTATTTATTTATACCCTGTATCTTAAAAAAAAATTTCTAAGGTGATTTAGAAATTAATTTATAAAGAAATAGGCACTTAAGTGTTTCCTATTTTATCCACAGAGTGGCACTGTTAGATTATTTAAAAAATCAAAAGCCATGTAGCATGGTTCTTTGTGGTTAGAAATATATATTTTTTACAGCAGTTCTGGTGTCAGGTTACTAGAAAACTAGGCTCTCTACCCCAAGGTACACAGGAAGTTCAGCTCAATGGAAATGATGTCCTAACTGTAGTTGGGTTAATGAGGAAACAGTTTTATAGGTACATCTTTTCTTGTAGTCATAGTGTTTACAATGGACAAAGGTCCTTTGATATCACAAATAGCTTTTGGTGCTTCCTGAAGGTGAGATCGAAGTCCTCAATTCTTCTTTCAGTTCTATCTTCCATCTTTCCTTTTAATTTGTTAATAAATCTTCCTTAGGTAAGAACTCGAATATCTGCTTGTGATGATGATAACAACAGTGTTCTTTATGCATTTGAACCAAATACTACATGTGTTAATGATGTAAGTAATAGTAATTGGCATTTGCCAAATATAGTAACACTTAACAATTTTAAGGGAAAAAATTTAAATTCTTCATATGCTACAGAACGCCTCTAAACCACAGCCAAAAAAATATTCTCTCCTGAATTTGTTTGCTTCCTTTCATTAGACAGTGGGCATCCAACCATTTTACTATCCTCTTTTCCTTCTATAGTAGGAAATTCAGACCAGTTTACTCATTTTCAGTACAAAATTCTAAATGTAGGTCCTTCTGATATAATAAATTCTTTCCTTACTTTCTCTCTTAATTAGCATTATCTCCATTCTCATATTAATATGAGTCTTACTTAATTTCATCTCTGCTTTAGATTAAGACTTCTGAAACTCTTTGAAAAGTTGGTGAAAATAACAACAATTTAAATAAATAAATATAAAGTGTTGGGTTTTTTTCCCTATTGTTCAGTTTGGTTCTTACAGAAGTAAAGCATTAATCACTTTTATAATTTTAGCAGGAAAGTGCCCAGTCTGAGGCATCCTTCGTCGAAGAGCAACCAAATACAATTCAGGATGTTCTGACTCATTGCCAGGTACAAAAGCTCTGTCTCTCAAATGTAGTTTTCTAAAATATTAAGGTAAAGATAAATATTAGGATAAAGAGAATAAAAATTCTCTTTATCTCATGTAAAGAAAAAGTATACAATTAATTGAAAGTTTGCTGTATTATTTATGATTATCACCCCATTGTGATAACTTTTTTAACAATTTCTAGTTGAATAGCATCTCCAGGTGAAAATTTTGCAATAGCAATGTGTAGATTTTTATAGTTTTTTTTAAAATAGCCCTTAATTGGTCAGATGCAGTTATGTCTTTTTTGATCTAGATTGCTCAATATTGAATTAATTTTCCCTATAAAATCTTTAAAGGAAAGTGGCTGATTTGGATGAAGTTTAGTACGTACCTAAATGCATTTCAAGATGTCTCAATTGAAACAAAATGACAGCTTACCACTGTTTTTACAAGAGTATATCTTACATAGTTTTGAGAGGATTTTTTAAAAATTAGCATGTTGGTAGAGAATGATAGCAGTATATAATTATCAAGGATTTTGCAAGCTGCATACCCTAGAGGTAATGAAAGTTTATTTTATAAAAAATGTTTCTGAACGTATCGAGTGTCTTGAATATAATAAGCTACTTTGAAAAGTAAAGAATATTTCTGCGAGTCTTTATCATCATTATCACTGAGAACAGAAGTACAGTGCTTAAAGGGAATATACCGAGTCTTCTGGGGAAGGATGTACAGAGGGTGGGCTGTAGTGGGGAGGGAGGGGGCTCTGGTTTTGAGCAGGGCTATACCCCAGGCTTGCCTCGCATAAGCATCCATGACGACCTAGGTGGACACTGCTCTGCCAGGGCCTTCTGAGCGGTCACGCAGGATGTGGATGCGGTGGGGTATAGCAATTACGTTAAGAAATGCTCAGGTTCCAGAGTCACCCCTGAAATGGGGTATAAGGGACCCACTCTGTTTCTCCTGATGTGCTAGCTGTCTCCTTTCTTCAGCTTCTTTCCTCATCAGTCTGGACCACACGGTGCAGCACTTCCATCTTTTCTTTTTCTTCCTATCCCCGTATCCTCTTTAGTAGAACCTCGGTCTTGTCCAGGCTGGGAAGCAGAGGGGAGGATTTCTGCTGGGACCCGTCTGCTGCCCTGTAATCCTTCAGCAGCTCTCTAGTCAGCTCCCTGTTCCATCCCCCACGAGCTCCAGACACCCCAATCCTCACCTCTTTTTTAAATGGAGAAATTGGAAGGTGTGGAGCAGAAATTCTTCTGTCTCGATTCCTCTCCCCACAGTCAACAAACTTGCCTGGGATCCATCCCTCCAGGTGCAGGCCAGGTTTAGCCCCAGACCTCCTTCCCGACCATTCAGATGGGGAAGGTGTCGTCCTCTGTAAGGCTAACTCTTCCCTGGCGTCTGCATCTGACCCTCCTTCCCTGTGCTCCCTTCATTTGGTCATCCCTCTCTAATATCTTCAGCTCTGTCTCTATCACTCTCAGCATATTCTCCCATGGTTTAAAAAAAGTCACTTCTTTCAGCCTCCCATCCCTCTTTAGCTGTCATTCTTTCTCTCTCCCTCCCTTAATAACCCAGCTCTTTGAATGTCATTTATGTTCACTATCTAAACATTCAATTTCCTGTTTTCTCTCTGGATATTTTTGAATGTACTGTTCCTTCTGTTTTATATGCCCTTCCATGTATCTTTAACTAGTGAATGACACCTTCTCATTTGTTAATTCTCAACACAGACATCTCCTTCTCTGAAAAGCCTCCCACAACTGCCAACCTGGGTTAGGTTTTACTCTTCTGTGCACACTTAGCCTGCTCTTACTGTGCCAAAGTAGTCATAATAATATTATTAATATTAATAGATGATTGAGCACTATTGGACCAGTCATCATGTAGTATTCTTATTATGTTACTATAAACATAATACTATAGCACATCATTTAATTCTCAAGAGAATTCTGTTTTTCATCCCGATACTATACTTAAGAACATCGAAGCATAGAGAAGTAAAGTAACTTGACCAAGGTCACAGAAACAATATGGCAGAACTGTAGTATTTAAACTCAACCGTGTTCCCCTAGAGCCTGCGTTATTTACCTCAGTGCTTTAGGCCAGTGGGTCTCAGGCTTAATTGTGCATCAGAATCACCTGGGAGGCTTGTAAAAACAAAGATCGCTGCCCCACTCTCAGAGTTCCCAATTCCTTAGGTCTGGGGTGAGAGATTTTGCATTTCCAACAAGCTAGTAGGTGAGACTGATGCTGCTGGTCAATGGTCCACACTTTGAGAACCACTGCTCCAGGCTGCTAATCACTTTCTCTGTTGAAATCATCTCTACTTGTCCCTCTCTCCAGCTAAAATGGGAGTTTGTTAGGACAGGAGCTGTTTTTTTCTTTTCTTAATGTGTATGTTTCCAGCATCTAGCATAGTAGTTCTGACAGGTGTTAGGCCCTCAATAAATGTTTATTAGAATAAATGAATGAGGAAATGGTCCTAGCCTCTTATTTAAGTGTATTTTTTTGCTCTAATGAAATTGCTGTGTATTTCAAGAATTCTCAGGCTTTATCAGTCACATACCTGATTGGCATATAGGGAATGTGTACTCAAAGACTTTACAAGGTTAATTGTTGATTGCATGATTTTAAAATACATCGAAGCCAACAGTCACGTCTGTTTTATTTGGCTCACTGTTCTTTCCAGAGTGGAATGCTCACTGCCTATTAGTTCATGCCGCCATCATATGGAAAGAGGCTCTTTGGCCTTTTAGCAGATGAGAAAATTTCTTTCCTAAAATAACATCTTCTTTGATGTAAAATGACTCCATCATAAATGTGATGGGTTATAGGAATTGTGGTACATTTACTTTCTGAAATTAAAGCTGCTTAAAATGCCTGTATGACATGGAGTAGATGCATAGGAGGTTGGGCTCCTTATGTCACCAGTAACCAGGTATCAAGTGGAAGACAAGAAATTTCTAATGGCTTGAGAACTTTCTTGTTCCTGGCAGGCAAAATTTGGCTTATTGGGATTTTCTTTTATATTACTTTTCTTTTGAAATCGAACTGCTAATAGTTTGTATTATTATAGGACATCCACACTGCTGTTCAAAACCTGGATAAGAAGTTTGATATCATTAATGGAAAGGTTTCAAAAATTCACCGTGCTCGTGTGAAATCATTGTGGCAAATTCGTGTAAGTGTTATAAAAATATTTTCACAACTGTAATAAACTTCTAGTTTCTGATGATGCCTGTCAGAAGTGAGAGAGAACTAATAATTGAGATTGCAAGGCTGATCTATACTTACTGTAGCAGCAGATGGGAGGCTAAAGCTCTGTTGGAAGAATGCTAAAAGTTTAGGTTTAAGAAATGTATCGATAATGGGTATTTTTATGTTTATAATCATAGTGTATAAAATACAATTAAAATAGGATTGGAGGGGAATAAAAATTGTATAATAAAAATAGAACATTAATCTTTAATAATAGAAACGAATGTTGCATGGAAATTAAATATTAATGTATTTACTAATTTCCTTTTTTGCTCACAGTTATTTTATTATGCTGGGTTTGTGTCATTTCAGAAGCCACTTGGATATGCATACAAAAAATATAATTACCAGATTTCTAGAAAGACGAGAGTGCAGAAAACGAAGAAGAAGGAGCTTTCTGCTTCTCCTTCTTCAGCGTCTTATCCTATAAGTTACAGCCCAACTTCACCAGTAGCAAGGCCACAAAATTCCCAGATCAACGATATAGGATCACCTTACCAGTCAGAGGGTTCCCCAGACCGGGACCGGGAATCATTGTACCAGGATCAGGAGCTGAGCCTCAGCCAGAGTCCATCGATTCCGTCTGTCTTCACAAATTCATATCAGTCGTATTATTCACCCAATGAGACAACGCAGAGCTGCCCTAACCTGCCCTGCTTTTCCAGCCCAGGGGCTCAAAGCACCAGCAGTCTCTTATCTGCCCAGCCTTCCATAACAATGTCTGCACCCGCGCTGGACCACGACATACCCAGTCCAGCTCAAGACCCTGAGATGATGGCTTACCCATCTTTGCTGGAAGATAAGAGCCTTGACCATACTCCTCCCCCATCTTTCTGCGACCCTACTGGCTTCAGTGAGTGTGGTATGACACATATCACAAGTCTCACTGTTTAACCTAAATTCCACAACATCCTTGGTGCAAGCTAGTGGAAGCCTTTCGTTTCATATTTTGAGGACTGGTTTGGGTGATATTCATAATAATGCCATATTTATTGAGTGTCCCAGACACTGTGTTAATCAACTGATATCACCCTTCTCCACTAATACTCATAATGATCCCATTGTGAGTTTTTAGCCTTGTTTTCTTTACCGTTTCCCTGAGTAAATACTCAAAATGTCCCTAAAATGGCCAGAACCCAGATGATGGGAAAGAAGAGGTACACCTGTGTCTACTTCACACAAAAAAAGATTAAACTTGAGTTGACAGTCCTTGGTGAGAGACACAAATCTGCCTAGCGAATTACAAAATCCACCTCTTATCACACACTAACTTTGGGGAGCTGCGTGCTCTGGTTGAGTAAGCAAAAACTTGTCTAGACACAAAGAAATTTCAGTGCAACTTAGTGAACAGCACAGCCAAAACTATTTGAGGTCTGAGCACTTAAATTGTTTCATGGCTCAGTTATGTCTTTTTTCAACATATAACCCTTCAGCCAAAATATCTATTACTAGCAATTAAACTTGAGAGAGGTATTGAATATAATGTTAATGTTACTTCTAACTTAGCTAAGCAGAAAATAATCTTGTTTTCTTCAAAATTCAGATAAGCATTTAAGTTTTAAGAGAGAAATTTAAAGAGTAATGCTGAAAATGTCCATATTGAATTCATGAGAGCTTCG